TTATTCAAGCAGTTATGTCGGTATTGCATTTTTTGTTCGCCTGCAAATACACAGCTGGGAAAATATCGTTGGGTATTTTGTAAAATAGAACATGTTTCAAGGTTGAAATCACAGATACTGAATAATTATATAGATTTATTTCACAGGGTATTGCATATTCTAGTTCCAAATCAATATGTGCAAAAATGTGTCAAATTCTATACAGGCTCTAGTTATGTTATAGGGCGGCATATAATATATACTCGACCATTTTTTTTATATTTAAATATAGGGATGGCTTAATACTATTATACAAATATACACTGTCTTGAGAGGTTCTGGTTAAAACTATGCGCAAGAGTCGACTCCACTAGTACAATTTGCTGAGGGGCGCATGCCCGAAGCAAATGGTACTTTTGGAGCCACCGAGGCCCATAATTTTAACCAGTGCCTCGAATAGAAGGCATGGTATATTTGTTTTATATCCTGCATTAAAAAATTATTTAAAAACAAAAAACTACCATTTTGGGAAGAAAAACTAATTTTCAACTCCCAAATAGTACTCTCATATAGTACTTTTTCAGAGCAACCTTAAAATAGTTCAAATATTTATGGTCACGTGGCGAGCTCTCAACCAATCAAAAACCAATACATTTTGGATGCAGGATATAATTTCAGCTAGATCCTCGAGTGTCGTTGTATATTTGTCTCTTATATCATGCATCATAAATTTAGTGTTTTATCAAATTTTATTTTAATAATTATTTGTTGATGCAGGATATAAAACAAATATACCATGCCTTCTATTCGAGGTACTGGTTAAAACTATGGGCCTCGGTGACTGCAAAAGTACCGATTGCTTCGGGGCTGCGCCCCTCAGCAAATAGTACTATTGAAGGCACCTCTGGCGCATAGTTTTAACCAGAACCTCTCAAGACAGTGTATATTATATTAAGATATAAATACACTGCAAACACATGGGTAAGAATTCATGTTAATATTTCAACAACGGACTACTTCTTTGGGGTCAACATGAAGTTCATATCCACTTTATTCACTGAGGACACGTTTTATGTAATAGTTGGTAAAGTTAAGTTAAGACACAGTAGGGCATTCCCGATCACTACTCACATAAAAAGTTGACAAGTTAATAGTCAGTAGTACAATAACAGGTAGACGTTAGCTGTAAAAACTCACATCTCCCTGGTAATACCTTATTTCTGTCAAATTATCGAAAAATGCTTTAGGGTGATCAAATCCGCCCCTTCAAATTTTGACCATCTAGCACTAACAGCTAATCCACTGGATATGGCAGCCTTCAAGTTTGAACTGACAATGGGCATTGCAGCATTGATATCATCTCTAATCCGTATTATTATTTAGTGTCACAGACATGAAGTCAATACAAATAATAGGTCAGTTTTGGTCTTGGATTTTATTTTGTAGATACTAGAGACATAAAGAGAAAATAATAAGCATTACAAATATAATGAGTTGCAAAATAACGTATATAATGTATTTTTTTAATTTCAGACATAATAGCATTTCCATTTGTGCCCTCGACTTCCTGTGCTTGAAATACGTAGCTGAACTTTCTGCTCACGTTTCACCTCCAAGTTTATGCCTCTTCGACTGACTGCATTATGGCTGAAAATGTAGAAATCGTACCGCTGCCTGCTGACAGTATGGAATGTCCACTATGTCTCGAAACCTTCAAAGCCCCCACCCTCCTAAGATGTGGGCATACTTTCTGCAAGGTCTGTCTGGAAAAATACGATAAAAAACATCAAGATTACATGGAGTGTCCGGTTTGTAAAAAACGCACCAAGCTGTGGAAAAGTAGAGTCGCAGGACTTGCAACCAATTTCTCTTTAAAAGGCATCAAGGAGGATCTTAAGGGCAATGGTATATCACCTGTTTTTTGTTCCTTGCACAGTGAAGTCTATAAAGATATTCTGTGTAAAGATGAATTTATCTGTCTGACTTGTTTTGTAGATACACATCAAGGTCACAGGTGTAAGAAAAGGGAGGAGTTGGAAGCATATTTGAAAAAGAAAAGAAAGTCTCTTAGGAAAAAATGTGGGGAGACGAAAGTACACATCAACAAGTCTATTACCAATGCTGAACAATATAAGACTGTTATGCATTCTCATCTGGAGGAGCTGGATAGGGAAATAAAGAATTCCTTTAGTGAAAAGTTAGAGATTCTTCAGGGACACTGTGAGAGACTATCGGAAGAAGTGAACACCATCCGCAACGGATCTGACCAGATATTGGAAGAGTTCATTGCACGCCAGAGACAGACATTGCAGAGTATCGATGTGAAGAGCGGGTTTATGGTACAAGAGGGCGTTGCAAGTACTAGTACTTGTAAGTTTCCAGACTCTGGTGCATTGAAAGAACTTTACAAAGAATGTTTAGATCTTGAGAATGAATTGGAGAGTGACCTTAATGAAACATCCGTAGAGGAGGCCAAACAAGTAGTTGAGAGCACCCGGTATCGCCCTTCTGGTGAGAATGATCTTGACCTAGGTACTCTCGACCAGGACGCTAGCGAAAGCGAGGATGATCATAACGACGGTTCTCCTGACCTGGAAGATACGTGGGGACAGCGACCTACCGTGAGCTTGGATGCGCTTATAGCGCAAGATCTCGATAACGAAGATAGCGATAGCGATGAATAAGTTAATTGTCATAACTGCAGCTCGGTGTGCATTTGGGTGTTTGAAGCAGGCGCGAACGCCGGATTTTGCGGGGGGGGGGGGGGGGGGGGGGAAGAGCACATTTCCCCCAATTTTTTTTCTCCAAAATTTGAAAATTGGGCCGATCGATATTTCGTTTCGTTGGAGGGGGGGGGGGGGGTAAAGTCAGCTTTCTGGGGTCATTCGTTATCACAATTGTTACAATAATTTTTAAAATAATTTTTTTATAATTTTTTTCATTAAGAAAAAACGAAAACGTACACATACAAACAATTTTTTTCTAGTTTAAAACTTGTGTTGGCGCCTGGTTTGAAGTATATGAAATGAGTTTTGCTTATATTAAAGCGGGTTTGCACTTCTTGTAGCCACTTTGAAACTTTTGGTAATTCCTAATTGAAGGTATTCATTAGTGTTTCGATGTTATTGTGTGAGTAAAATATATTTCTGTTGTCTGCAAAGAGAATAAATGGCAAAACAGATGATGCGTTCCTTATCGTTTACATACAAAAGAAAAAAAAAGTGCTCCCACAATGGAGTCCTGAGGGACACCACACCTGATCGGTAAAAGACTGGACGCAGTACCATTGAATGAAATATATTGTTGTCTGTTCGAAAAGTAATCTTTAAACGATACTAGTATTGTTTTGATTCAACATTTTGCTTTTATTACACTAATCATATAAACTGCTGTAAACTATTTGTTAAAGAATTTTTGATATGTACATGTTCTACAGAGTATAGATATTGGGCGATTATGGCTTTTTTCATGTGGATTGTGCTTTTATAAAAAGGAATTACTTTCTCTACTTCAAGGAGATCTGGACAAATTAAATACATGTTTACAAACTAACGGGGATATAATGAAGTATATAATTTGACCTTGTGATCGATCTACTGGAGTTGAGTGGTATTGTAATTAATTATTTCTGTTGAGTTTGTTTGGTTAAGGAGTACATATTTATTGAAAGAACTTTGAAGGAAATGGGTAAAATCAACATTTTTTACATCAATGTCTTCTGCTAGTTGTGGGCCAATTTGACTGAAGAATGTATTGGACGAAGTAGAAAGTATTATTTAAATTGAGTATATCATTACCATCTAGCATAAAATTATTTTTGGTAGAGGTTTCGTTTTCTTTCCTATTGCCTCAGTGTTGACACACCATATTGCTCTAACATTGGAGCTAACTTTACTTAATTGTTCAGAGTAATACAACTTTAGAGAACATGGAATGATATTAATCAATTTATTGCGATATTTTTGGTCATTTGTGGTGGTTAAGTCTGTTGGGTTTTGTAAAGGTATATAATTTGTAAAGTTAGTTTCTTGTTCTGATTGATTTCATAATGCCTTTCGTAATCCGTAGGTTTCTTGAAATGTTAGAGCTTCGTTTTCCTCTGACAGGAGGCATATTTTTATCATAATAATATTGTAATTTACGATTGAAATTTTCGTATGCATTATTCACATTATGTTAATTCAAAACATCTGTTCATTCTTCTTCTAATAAATTTTCTCTAAATGACTCAATGTTAGTATTAGTCTCTTTTCTATTAAAGAGAAACCTTCGAGTTTGTTTAGGATAACTAAAGTAAACTGGGATATCTCAAATATCTGGAGGTGGTCATTACAAATGGCAAGTTTGCAAGTGCTGATGCATTGTAAAATCATCAAAATGTGAAGAAGAAAAATAACTGATTAAGTCAAAACAGTGTTTTCATAAAAAGCAATGTCATGTAAAACCATCACTTACACATAATGGAAGTAATCAATCATTAATGAATTATAATCTTGAAAATATTCTGGTATAATTTTAATTCATCATAACAACATAACAAGACAGTATGAGAGTGTCATAAAAAATAATATTTCAGATATAGTAATGGCACATTGGAAATAGATTGAAAATACAAATCAATACATTTATAAAGACTAATATGCACAATTCATATCTACTAAAAACTTGAAAAAGTGGCAAATTTCACCCACAATGATACTATACAACATTGCATGCTTCGACATACAAGGTCCGGCTCGTAGTACACAAAAATCAGGCCCGTATTGACTTTACACACTGGACTTAGGGGGGGGGGGGGGGGGGGGGTGTTTTCAAAAGGAGGGAACATGCATATGCGTACCTTAAATAACACTGAGTGGGGGGGGGGGCGGACATACAATTCAACAACATATATAAACCAACAAATTCAGAATTTCCAGAGTAATGTCATATTCACAGGGTCTGCATTATAATGGCACAAGGAAATTTGGAGATGACTATGTGTACTATATATACTATATTGAACAATGCTGCATGCAATATTTTAAATATAAAATCGAGTGTATTTAATTTCAATCTCACGAATTGCTCCTTTCCGAGTCTGGCCTTGTCGATTTCATTCAGACTGCTTTCGCATGAGATACGCGCAGCTCAGACACTGAAATCAATATATACAGGCAGGGAAGAGAGGTGTGAAGTTCCATTCATTTTCTACGCGTTTTACCGCTCAAAAAGAGTTCTTATATTGCACGCTCATGCAATGGGAGATGTGAGTTGGTCTAGCAGCACTTTCACTTGGTCAGCTCTCTGTCTTCGCCTACAAACTGGCCCAGTTTTAAACTCAGTCACTTCTTTCGGATGGTGACGTAAAAGGTCAGTCTCCACAAGTAAATAATCAAATATGATCGATAAAGACAAGATCACATACACACATTACAAAATATTGAGTGTCACGTGATAGCTTCTCAGCCAAAAGCATGCTTTCTAACAACTACACTTAGATTAGAGACATATTGTTACTCTATTTTACTTAGTATACAAGCTCAACACATTATACTGTTTGAAGTTAACTAGCTATCCATACAATGCATACAATAATTACTAATATTTTTCAAGAAATATACAATCTATCCATGAGGTAGAATCATTAATATCCTTGTTCAGGGGGATTTAGTTTTTGTTGTTTAATTTTGCTTTTGCTTTTCAATAAGACATGTTACATTGATAAATAATCATCTGCAAAACCTTTGCAAGTCCTTTCAACAATACTGCTTGTGTATCCATTTAAAGAACGTAGTCCTCACATGTGGATCACTTAATGAGGTTGGGGCAAAATAAGACAACGTACTTGTAACGTTGGTACAGTACAAGATCTGCTACTACAAATGAAATCTAAAATCATCTGTTTGAGATATTTTTAAATCAATATAATGTGTCCTGCCATAATCATTCCTGTTTCAGTTGCACACAGCTTTTCTTCAAAATCTTTGTGTAATATCCATTTCTAATTTGTCCAGCATAACATGCACATGACATTTGCTTTCAGTTTACATGCACATCACATATATAATATATATATATATATATACATGTTTAATATTGATTCACTGTGAAGCTAAAATACTGCTAAACATAATTGGCTATGTTGCTCATGCAAAACTCAATTTGAGCAAACATTGTTATGGTCGGTGGAGGACATAGTTTCTCACTCACTGGTACGACACAAAAATTGCCCAAACCCTGGCATGACCAATTTGTAACAGATATTTCAATGATTTACATACATGTATTATCATGGAGCTTAATAAGTACATTAAAACAATATAAACAATACATGGGTTTGTTTGTGTATGTTTTCCATGTGATTGGGGATGACGAGAGCTCATTATAACAAAGACATTTTTTAAATCCTCTGGCCTCTGTTTTTCAATTGGAGTTCCCTATATGTAGATTTATTTAATTTTTATTTGAAGAGCAAGTTGGCAACAGAGAAATTAAAACATGGTCCCATCTCATAGCCAGTTTCCCCAATTACTCACATTTCTGTAAATAACCATTTGATGCTCTAAAATGTACATCCACAAACACACACACGAATTGTGTGAAGAATGATTTTTATATTGAACTGCATGATCATCTTCTGGAAATGTAAAGTCAAACTTATCTACAAATCAGACAGAGTGCATAGATGGGTGATTTGCATGGTACCCTTTCAACAAAGAATGATATAAGTTCATAATTATTGCCTAACTCTTTAACGAAACCAACCCACTTTTTGCCGAACTCTAGAGGCGCAAGGGCCGGTATACAATTCATTACTTATCTGAAATCAGTTGTAGGCTTTTAAAAGTAAAATACTTAGACAATTTAGGTATTTAAATGAAGCTTTTGGCTAAGTATTTCACCTTAAGTTTAAGACAGCTCCCTGGCTGACTTAAACTAATAACTTTATTACACTTTTACACTTTATTTAATGTAATCGGTTAATTGCACAATACTTTTGAATGATCACTGAATGTCGCAATGCTTATCAGTCAGAATTTTGCCTGAAAGTTGGTTAACTAAAGTAAAATGCTCATGTGTAATATAAAATGAGTTAAGAGTCACATTACTTGACCAATTAAAATGCTTAGTAAAATACTGACTAATCCCGTACGGAATTGAAAACGGGCCAAAGATAGCTATACTTTTATAGTTCTTGCCTAACTTTAGAGGCTCCCACTTTCACTTCAGGGGATTCCCCGCTCCAGTACTGGTACGCCAAAATGGCACTGTTTCTACTCCCTGATGACTGCCATTTCCATGGCACTAGCAGCCCACTCGATGGCATTGGGGGTAAAACAAGCCTTCCGCCAAGACAAACCCAGGGAAAGCCTTACGCTCTTGGTAATAGGGATACGCCAACCAATCGCGGTGCGTCGCTTCCGAGTACGACTCGAACAGCGCCTCCATCTGCGTATCGTTCAAGACACCGGTTGAGAACACCTTGTAGAGTTGCCTCGATGCGTTGAACGTGACGGGTTATAGTCCACGGGGAAGTTCTTGGCGAGAGTTCTGAAGTTCAGAGGCACTTCCATGTTGGTGATGATCTGTCCTGGGAGCTCACCTTGGGGCGAGACTCCAAAGGTGGATGCTCGTGGACGCCCCTCTACGAGAGAGGCGACCGTGTGGCGGTAGTCGCCTGTGAAGTTGTGGTGACCGAATGATCGAAGCCTATGAAGTCGATACCTGAGAGATCGTCCTCTATGGGTGAAGCCATCATGACTATGTCAAAGACATCACTCTTGAGACCTTTGACACCCTCGTTCCACGTGACTCTGAAGGCGGGCCTTTCTGCATTCTCACCGGCGACACGTTCAACGGAGTGTACCCTAGACTTCATGAGCTTTGCACCGGACCTCTGAAGCAGCTGTTCAGGCACGAGCTTGTTACCCCCATCTATACACCACAGACCAGGTACGGCTGCAGCTAGGGACACCATGCCTTGGGATGATGAGGAAAGCGAGGAAAGAAAGGGAGGGGGATTGGAAGTTGTTCAAATTTAAAGTTTGTGAATATTTTCTCTTGTTTAGATTACTCATACAAACATTGTAACATTATATTTCTCAACTTACATACACATATATCTTTGCATTACTTAATGTTGCTATCCATATTAAAGGAGACACCATAATTGCTTTTTTTTTCTTCATGGATCTGTGGGACTTGATATTGTCTCATTTATTTTAAGTATTATGACACAGACCCCTGAACTGAATGCACTGGTCCAAAACTAGACTGAACAATAGGAAATCAAACATTTACGCCAGAAGAACATCAGAATATTATCGCTTTACCTGCAAACCCCATCATGTTGGGGTTTCTGCCCATAATTTGCTCTTGTTGCTATAGCAGCGAACTCTTGGACAAACCTCTCCGACATGCCCATGTCTCGGAGGACGACGCTTATAGGCTTGGTCAGCCAACCCTCAAACTCCTCCCCACCCATCGCAGCCATTATGCCTTCGATGTCTGTGTAGGATTGTCCTGCATCTTGGAAATCATAAATTCTGAGATAAAAAGAAGGAAGAAGGAAAGTACAGTCAAATCTGTCTATAGCGACCGCCCAAGGGTAAAACAAAAAGTGGTCTTTGTAGACAGATTCCCTTAGTACATGTTTCAATGAGAAACCGTTTTCAAGGGAAGCAAAAAATGTGGTCTTTGTAGAAAGGTGGTCACTATTAAAGCAGGTTTGACTGTACATGAATGCACAAATGCAGAGCTTGAAAGGACCGTACAAAGACCCAGACACCAGTGCGTTATGGGCACCCAACTTTCCAAATTTAATCTTTGTGTCCAGAATGGATAAAAAACAGTCTGGTCCCAATGAAAAGCCTGGACTAATGACAATAGAATGATTAACCAATAGGTGCATGAATAGGAAAATAAGGCAATGGTTCAAAAGAGAAAGACACTCAAAATAGATTCTACTCAAAGATAAATAAGGGGTTAAAGGGAATGCAGCTTGGCAAATACTGGTTAACGCCATCTACATCTTCTTTTGGACAACTGCACGTAAATGAATGGACTTGATTGATAGTAGGCAGCGACTTAATCTCTACATGGTCAGCGTTCGCGAAACAGACCAGTTCTCCTCATGCTTCGGTTTCGCGTATGTTGCACGCATGTTATTCCTGCCGTTGCGTCGTCCGTAGTCGTATTACAGGTATACCCAATTGCACGTATACCCAATTGGCCCCGAGTCAGGCAATGAAAAAGACCAGGCTCCTCAGGCTACAGTCCATTTAAGTGAAAGAAAAGTGAAAGGAAAGGAGGAGTAGCGAGGCTTTTCTCCATCCTAACATTCTCTGCAAGAAAATAAAATTAGTGAGCACCAGCTCAAAATCTCAATTTATTTGACCCCCCCCCCCCCCTCCCCCCAATTTTTTTTTTGTTTTTTTGGCAGGAATATGTACAAACTTATATATTTTACCCCACTCCCCCCCCCCCCCCCCCCTCTTTATCCCGTCCTTCTTTCTCGCTTGTACTTTCTCCATCAAATGTAGGTTGTCGATATTTCTCCCATTCTCTTTTCTGTATATTAAGGAAAATGGGGAAAGGAACATGGAAAGATGTGCAAACAGACCCTCTTAAACATCTTCCCTCACTCAAGTACAAGGTAATCTTAACATATTGCTTACCAGAACTTTTTTGGTCACAGAGTTAAGCCTATGGGAATACGATAATTTAGTATTCAGCGGGTTAAATATTCCCACAAAGGTGTACTGGTTAGAGTAGGATTTAATAGTTTTTGTGTAACTAGGGATTGGTCTAGGGTAGAACATAATTGATGGGAAAATAACTATTCAAAATTTAATTTTCAACTTTGAAACAGCAAATTGCAACAAAGTAATATAAATTGAAGAGTCCCTGAGTCAGGTATTCTAACAAATATAGGTAAATCAAATCTTGCTTTAAAGACTGATTTTGGTGTTTCTTAACACTAGTAGTGCAGCAGTGACTTCTTTTAAAGTGATTTTTTTAAAGGGAGGTGTTTTTTTTTTGCCCAATTCGTGAGAGCGAGGGGGGGGGGGGGGAGTGTTTGCACACCCAACCCCCCCCCCCCTTAAATGCGCCCTTGGTCCCACATGTTTACAATCTATGTTTGGCTCCATGAGTGCCCTGACCCAAACTTTTTCTTCAGATTCCACTTTGTCCACCTCCCAAGAAAAGTACCCCCTCTATAGCCTGACCTATGCCATCCCGATGACTATCATCTTGGTTCTTGAAAAAGAAAAAAAAGAAGAAAGGAAATGAACTGAAAAACATGTTTACCTTTCAAATTTCTTGAGCAGATTGCTGATGGTCCAACGCATTCGGAAGACGTCCAATCCATATCGCCATAGTAACTTGAGGAGGGTTATGATGGAGTATTGACTGGATTGAAAGACAAATTCTTCTCCATCGTAGATTCCCATCGTTCTATCAGTGCCTTCTGCGCTCCTCTCCTTCAGTCCTATAATAGAGAGTGAGTGAAAGAAAAAGAGAGAGAGATAGACAGTGAGTGTGAGAGAAGAGATAGAGAGTGAGTGTGAGAGTGAGAGAGATAGATAGATACGAGAGTGAGTGAGAGAGAGAAAGAGATAGAGTGTGTGAGAGAGAGAGAGAGAGAGAGACGGTGAGAGTGAGAGAGAGAGATAGAGAGTGAGTGTGAGAGAGAGAGATAGATACGAGAGTGAGTGACAGAGAGAGAGAGAGACAGTGAGTGAGAAAAAGAGATAGATAGTGTGAGAAAGAGTGAGAGAGAGAGATACAAGATTTAGTGTAAGAGAGGGATAGAGAGTGAGTGAGAGAGAGAGAGTGGAAGAGAGTGAGATAATGAGAATGGTCGTGATCCAACTTTCATACCGTAATTGTTATTTACCTGTATACATGCTCTATGCACATGTAGATTTTTTTTTTCTAAACCTCTTCACGCTATCTCTGCTTTGAATGAACACGAGTTAAAATTTTGTGATTCACAATCAAACCTGAACATCAAGGTCAGATATTCAGAGTGTCATAAGATGTCTAGAAATAGTCTCACCAAAATCTTGCACAAATTTCTTCATGTATAGATTGCGTGGATGGAGGATCGTCCCGCCGATCTCATACTCTGCTCCTCCGATGGAAACGGTTGCTAAGCGACCTCCAATGGTATCTTTCTCAAAGAGTGTGATTGCTGCATTTTCACCAAACAGGTCCCTCAGGTAGAAAGCATTTGACGTACCACCTATGCCCCCTCCAACTACAGCTGTGAAACAGAAGAAGAATAGCACAAAATACAATGTTACTGTGCATGAAGGAAGATGACATCGTTGTCATCCATTGACAGTATAACTAACAGTTTAAAATACGGCTGGAAGAAGTTCAACCCGCGAGCTCAATTTAGACAAAGAAAATCCGGAAAAAAGACCCTTAAACGCATCATAAAATCAATCTGGTAAGTGGAACCGATGTATATTAGCCTAGGCTTAATTTTCAAAAACAAATGCATTGGATATGAATCCGTTAAAATTGAGTATTTGGGGGAAAGAACGTTTGCACAGGAGTGCCTATGGTCGATTTCTGTCTCTAAAGAGAGGAGCCGACCCTACCCAAATAAGAGGCTTTAAACAAACAAACGAGACAAAATTTTTGTCCGAGATAGATCATGATACTACTACTACTACTAGTACTAGATCTAGTTCAACTAGAGACTAAAGTAGAGATCTATCATCTACGTAGTAACATGCACCTAGACAGAAATAACCGTCTGGTAATATAATTGGATCATTCTTAGCACAAATACATTGTAGCTGGGTGCATTACCATCCTGGCTGTGTATTAAAAGCTGTGCTAGATCTATAGATTCTCAAAATTTCAAACACCACTGTACAAAACTCAACTGATTTCACTAAAAATCGATACTTTAGTGACGATTGATGACACCTAAATAGCAATAAAATACAATTGGTTCAACTTTCCGATGTTAGAAAGAATAATTCAAAAATTCAAATTGTGAGTCCATTGTCAAACTTGCCGATCAGCCGCATCGGCACGATTGTGTGCATCTATGTGTTATAAGAGTATTGACTATTCATGTATTCAAATGCTGCCTATTAACACGTAGTGCAGTGCTAAAGGTCAATACGCATTGCTGGAGTGAATAAAGCTTACATTTGTGAACATTCCCCATACACAGACAGTACCCCCCTTACGGCACGCATAAGGAGGAAGGGGTAACTAGCCGAATTTCGGCGAAATCAGCCATTTTAGGGGTGGCCATGCACCACAAAAAAAGAAAAAATGCTATCGACAATGTACGCCACTGCAGCCGGCTAGACTCGGGTGGCCGATCGCTTTGCAGTTCGCACGCTCAGCTCAGTCATGCAAGTCTCGGGCTGCCGAGTCCGTTTGCACAATAAATTTCAATGTCATGATCATCGGCAAGAAAATGAGAACTTACCAATTTTCACAGGCAGCAGTCGATTTCCATCAACTTCTACATTTTCAGATGATGTGAGAGAATATGAAAATGTAACGATGATACAAAAAATGGCTACTGAAACGTATTTCTTCGATAACATTTTGACTATTTACAGCGATGAAAGTTGAAGCGTCTACCGGTATTTTGATTTTAGCACGAATTACACGTAGGGCCAGGGATAGACTCGTACCGTACATGCAGACTAAACTGATCCCGTGCATGCATGTTAACAAACTTTAATAATTATTCTCTCTTTCAGACCAAAGAGTATTGTGCCCCCAACACCTTCCTTGAATTGTTTAAAATAAATTTTCCTGGTTATTTTATTTCTGAATCATTAGTACATTGTGTATCTATATTCGAGTTCAAATTTGTGGTACCTCTGACAAACAGTATTTTGTCGTAGCCTCCAGCTTTTGAAGTACGGTATAATCCTTTTTTTGTTTTATGGAAGTGGAAAGGGGAAATGTTATATCCCCATTTTACGTGTGACATATATTAAAATGGGCCCTAAAGTAATAAAAATAGTTATATTTTTTTATTCATAATATATGTGTTCAAAGATCCCATAAGACATACGTGAGGGCAGCTACATAATAGTGCATAGAGCAGGGGACGTGGACCGGGGGGGGGGGGGAGCTCCCATCCGGATTAAAAGTATGCCCACTAGGGGGAGTACGTGGACCGGCCGAGGGCACGTGCCCCAACCTCTGGACCCCCAAAAATTAAAAATCACCCTTTTTTCAAAAAAGAAAGAAGACACCCCCCTAGTCATCAAGGGGGGGGGAGGGGGTGTTGAGTAAAAAAAATACTACTCACCCCCCTCCCCATTGAAATAAAACATGAAATGCTCATTACCCCTCCCCAACCCCCCCCCCCCCCTTTTTCGCCGGCTGATTCGCCGCTAAATATTTCCTCACGAATTTGTCCCCCGGCCCCCCCCCCCCCACAAAAAAAGAGAAGAAATAGTGCTCATTAATCTCCCTCCTGCTTATTCGCCACTATTCTCACGAACTTACCCCCCCCCCCCCCCCCCCCTCGAATTCACCGCCCTCGCCGCCGGCTGCCTTCGCCCCTGAATACTGAATACAAAATACCTAACTATTTTGCACGACCACTTTGATCCCTTGCAAAAGGAATAATAATATCCAGTTAATTGTCATTCGACCTAATTTACGGATAATATGGGCCAAATTTAGAGCTTTTCTTTCTTTCTTTCTTTACAGAGTAAGATTTTTATTGGTGCTCCCAAACAGAAAATATCGCCTGGGCATGTTTGAAGATGTTTCGTAACATTTTGACCAATTGAACAACCGTCGATATAATTAAGCTTTGTTGGGTTAGGTGTATCCAGTTCGTGAAACGTTTCCCCAAATAAAGAAATAATGATACACTTCGCCTTCTTGAAATAAGCTAATAAAAACACGCTTTTATTTCTTGCTGCTTTGTTAACATTTCCCTATAGTATCAGACACGCGGGAATTGCATGGGGGTGCAAAGTTTGGAAACTAGAGATAATACGGCGCTTATATATTGTTGTTAGTAAATTTATATTTTGAAAATGATCTTAGCACTCTATTATCTCTTGAAGGACCGCCTCTATCTGTAGCCTTATCCAGATTATTCAGATTGTACATGCAAATATGCCTACATGTAATAGTTACTGCTATATACACGTAGGCTATAATGTATCAAGAATTCAAGGCAGCTGTCTATAAGTAGAAAATTGTGCTTTAATTAAATTGTTATTTTTGGGGTAATGGTTGGTAAGAAATTGCCCTTTCTGTATTTTTTCTTACAGAGTCTTAACAACAACAAAAAAACATACATAATTATATCAGAAAGTTGTTGTAGGCCGTTACGTGCATGACGACATAAACATAGCTTTTCGACAGTAATTATATGACACTCCTGAAGACGACCCATTTGAAGCTGCACAATGGGGCATTGTGAATTAAAAGCTGGTAAAAATTCATTATTATCGAGTATTTGATTTTCTAAAGGTTAAAAGTTTGGCATTCTTAGCCGGGTTACCCTTTTATTTTATACAGATCGATGTATATACATATTATACTTATAGGCCCGAGTTCACAAAGGAGGTTTGTCGACAAACCTTGGTTTTCGTACGTCATATGACGCGTTTTACGCGTTTTTTACAAACCTGGTTTGTAAAGAACAAAAGGAGGTTTGGCGAAACAAAAGGAGGTTTGAGCTCAAACCTTGCTTTGTGAATTCGGGCCATTATGTCAGCTATAGGACATGGGTGTCTTTCTTCTTCTTCTTCGCCGTATACGGTCTTTTAAACATGTAGGCCTACATGTAATAAGTTAGTCATGAGGCATTAATATTATTGTGTCAAAGAACAGATGCTAGCTAGTCGGCCTGGGCAGCGTTTCTCGAAACCGTCATAACAACAAGTTCACCGACATCCCATTGAAACGCGTGTTAAACTTAATACACGCGTTTCAATGGGATGTCGGTGAACTTGTAGTTATGACGGTTTCGAGAAACGCTGGCCAGAACGACAGGTTTCATTGACTGAATATCGTTCCTCTGCTTCATTTCTCTTCAGTATCATGTTGTTCAACTCAATGTCAGGTCATGTGCCCTCTCGTGTCCATTTCAGGCCATTGAGATACCACATTTTTATCTTCATGTGGCACAGCACCAGTGGTCTTTAAACGTCATCATGCCTCCGGGCCCTGTTTTAAAAAATTGCTATCGAAATGTTCCATGACCGGTTTGCTCTCAGTCAATCAAATGCTTATATTACAGTAGCTTATATATACACATCATAGGCGCCGGAAGTGGGGGGGGGGGGGGGGGGGGGGGGCAGGGGGCAGTTGCGCAGTTGAACCCCCCCCCCAGGGCAAAAGGTGGTGCTCACGCCGGTTTCCCCCCCAAAAACGCCCCCCCCCCCTCCAAAAAAAAAAAAAAACAGTAAAGGAGTAAACATGGTTGTATTTTTAATCCAAAAGAACGTAACAATAATAAAAACCTGAATTAAATCACATATACAATTCCATTCAAAGAAAAGGAAAGTTCACAGGAATTAAATTTCATAAACATTGCGCATGCCACCTATACGGTATTTATCAATGGAGGTCTCTGTAATAGCGATACGCGCATATCGTGGACATATTGTGCGAGAATGGGAAAGCGTGTCCGTTTTTTTGTTATAGGGGTGAGAAGACATGAGCCCCTGAACGTTGGCGTACTGATGGGGGGGGGGGTGATGTATTTCTTATTCGAAACAAGTGATATACAAATGTTGATGTTGTGACATGATTTTCCGGCATTTTTTCTCCATTTTTTTTGTAAGTCATACCTTCTTATGCGTTTGTTGGAAAATAAGAAATTCCCAAAATTACAGTCGGGCGAAATACGCTTATTTAGAAGCCTTTATGTCATGGTCTGCAAAGTGGCTGGGCTCGAGCCCCCCCCCCCCCCCCCCTCCTTTTTGAAAAAGTATGTTAAAGAGAAAAGAAAGAAAGACGGAGAAAAAAATAAGTGACCTGCCAATGTCACAAATAAGGTATAAAAAATGCTCATCTGACCGTAATTAAATGCTTAAAACCCCAGAGCTTACGGGGGCTCTGCCCCCGGACCCCACTAAGGGACCTAAGGCGGGCCCCTGGATGCTCATCTGACCGTATTTAAATACCTAAAACCCCGAGCTTCCAGGGGCTCTGCCCCCTGGACCCCAACAAGGGCTCTAAGGCGGGCCCCTGGATGCTCATCTGACCGTAATTAAATACCTAAAACCCCTGAGCTGCCGGGGCTTTGCTCCTGGACCCCACCAAGGGCCCTAAGGCGGCCCCCTGGATGCTCATCTGACCTTAATTAAATACCTAAATCCCCTGAGCTTCCGGGGCTCTGCCCCCTGGACCCCACCAAGGGCCCTAAGGCGGCCCCCTGGATGCTCATCTGACCTTAATTAAATACCTAAAACCCCTGAGCTTCCGGGCTTTGCCCCCTGGACCCCACCACGGGCCCTAAGGCGGCCCCCTGGATGCTCATGACGAAAACTCGTCGTTTAAAATTGAAACCCCCATTTGACTTTCACCATTTCTACTTGTACTAGAGCTGAGATTGTGATAAGCCCTAAGTAAAACTAGCGCTGTAATCCACCCCCACCGAGACCTTGATGAGGTGATAGCGAGAGAGAGATAAGCATGATACAAGGGGAAAGGAAGGGAGAAGGGAGAAAGAGACACATGCAGGGGTTCGCTGCCAGAGTTAAAATTGTTGTTATATCGCCAATTATGGGTCATTTTGCTTCGTTCGAACTTTCATTTTGGTCTTCATCTAAATTATTAGTGACTTTAGGACATGAAAATATCTTAAAACAAGTAAAACACTTATTTCCTGCTTCTCATTTCCTTTCAGGCAGACCCCAGTAAGAGTTTGTTTACACTAGTATACGTAAGATGATGTAGAGTCCAGCTGCAATCCAATATCTTAATCTCTCACTCAGAGCCTCAAGGCTCTGTCCAAGTTTTTAACGAGAGAAATGAAAGTGGGGTAGTGAGACCCCATCAGATTCCCATTGGTGCCTGTGTAACAGTAGTAGCTCTCTCAAAGTTTTAACGAGAGAAACGAAACTGGGGTATTGCTACCCCACCAGATTACAAAGTTTTAACGAGAGAAACGAATCTGGGGTAGTGCTACCCCACCAGATTACATTGACTGCTGTGCTATAGTGGTGGGGTATAGTTTTAACGAGAGCTTTTCGTAATGCTCATCTGACCTTAATTAAATACCTAAATCCCCTGAGCTTCCGGGGGCTCTGCCCCCTGGACCCCACCAAGGGCCCTAAGGCGGCCCCCTGGATGCTCATCTGACCTTAATTAAATACCTAAAACCCTGAGCTTCCGGGCTTTGCCCCCTGGACCCCACCACGGGCCCTAAGGCGGCCCCCTGGATGCTCATCTGACCGTAATTAAATACCTCAAACCCCTGAGCTTCCGGGGCTTTGCCCCTGGACCCACCACCAAGGGCCCTAAGGCGGCCCCCTGGATGCTCATCTGACCTTAATTAAATACCTAAAACCCCTGAGCTTCTGGGGGCTCTGCCCCCTGGACCCCACCAAGGGCCCTGAGGCGGCCCCCTGGATGCTCATCTGACCTTAATTAAATACCTAAAACCCCTGAGCTTCCGGGGGCTCTGCCCCCTGGACCCCACCAAGGGCCCTAAGGCGGGCCCCTGGATGCTCATCTGACCGTA